TTCAAAATTCTATGCCCTCAAAAATTAAAAACTGTTTAATAATTATTCCTGTTCCCTTCAAGTCTTAATCATAATTATATGTAATTTCCACAGGGAGATATTTCATATGTAAATACAGTTCAAAAATCTAATTTTTCTACTTAACATCATATCTTCAGTATTTCCTCACAGTGATACATAGACGTCTTCAAAATGATCATTTCTAGCATCTGGTTATATTTTTCCATGATCAGACATGCAAATTATTTCTAATTGTACTGTGGTACAACAATCTCTTCCTTCCCATCTTTTAGATGAGTAGTTTCAAACTTCAGCACACAGCAGAATTACTTTGATGGCTTGTTAAAATGGAGGTGGCTGGGGCCCACCTCAGGTGAGACCCTCAGATAGGAATTTGCAATTCCACCGAGTTCCCAGATAATGCAAATGCTGATTATCTGGGAGATCGTTGTTTTTTTTTTTTTCTTTACTGTAATTTTTCTTTTTCTTTTTCTTTTTTTTTTTTTTAAAGTAAGCTCTATACCCAACATGGGGCTCGAACTCATGACCCCAAGTCTAGAGTCACATGCTCTACCAACTGAGCCAGCCAGGCACTTTAGAGAGATCACTTTAAATAATTACTTATTATTTATACAGAAATTATCATCATTGAGTTCAGATTGAGAAATTAAATAGTATATTTTTATGGCATCTATGACATATTTCTGAAAACCTTTCCTACAAGTTTGTACAGATTTATATTGCCACCTGACTTCTTGATACTTGAAGTGTGGGTAGAAACCAACTAACTGTAAGAACTAAGACAATGGAAAATTCATACTTTTTTCCCTCAAAATCACAACTTGAGGCCTCAGATTCATTTATTTATATTTCAAAGATACAGATCATGGTTAAATGATAAGATCCAAACATCTGTTACCATGGAAATTAACGAAGAGCATTTATCATCTTTGTCCAATTTCAAAAGTCACTGAAAACTAACTGAAATATTTATACCTTGGAGCAGAGTAAATGTGTATCTTTACCATGCAGATACATATTAGTACACTTAGCTTGCTTGTCCAACAGATAGTTCAGAAACCACGTCACTCATTGGAAGATGTAGGGCAAAAATCTGGCTTCAAATTGTTTGGAAAAAAGAGCATTCTGACTTTATCAGGGGATTATTAGCGTGTTTGCCTAAAAGCCACAATCAAAAACCTCAGAGGTTCTCCCTTGGACTAAAGGATTCTTTATATTTGGGTAAAGACAATGCCTTACTATTAAATGGAGACACACATATAAATAAAGAAGCCCATGTAAGCATATAGATGTGTGTATATAAATAAATATTAGATAGCCAGATATGCAAAGTAGCTATTCATACACCAGCTTCTAGAAGCCCACAGATAAGACATATGCTTAGCAAAGATATCTGCTGCAGAAAATGTCTTCCCACCTCTTTCTCTGTAATCTGCAAACATTCTTGTATTTTTCGTTCTTATCTGTTATTATTGTATCTCTTTGAGTGTGTAAGGAGAAGTTGTGTTCAGATACATAATAATCATAAAACCATACATAAATAAAGTGATTGGGTGTTGTCAACAAACCTTGAAATCTAGTTAGCAATTAACTTGTTAGCTCTGGCTTATATGGAGAAGAGTAGATCAAGAGTAAAAATACAAGAACCTTTTAAGATTAAGGAAATCTTGTATTTATGACTTTCTAAGGGATGATTTTTTCTGAGTTAGTGTTTTAGTAACTGTGATATCTTTAAGTAAGAGCTAAGTCAACAGTCCTAACAAGCCTTAAATGACTCAAAATTGTTCTTTGTGTGGACAGGTTCATTATGGCCATATGAAAACACTGCTGCTCTCAGAATGGACAGAAAACTAGGGGATAATAAACACTAATGTACTGCACCATGTATATTTCACTGTATGTATGTTTTATATAATAATGTGCAGAAATGCATCTACTTATATTATGTAGTACATATGTCCACACCTTGTAGCCTAAAAAGAAATATGGCAAATTTTAAAACATGCCAATGTTAAAAATGCAAGCATAAGAAACACAGGACGGCAATGCAGAGAGACAGTAAGGCAATCACTCCCCTAATATGTTTGAGATTCTGACTATAAGCACTTAGTACTGACTATAAGCACTTAGTACCAGGTGTTCAGAGCAAACTAAAGATATTAACAGCAATAACCATAAGATCCCTTGAGAACGATGATCTCTAAGTATTTTTGAGTCATAACTTGTCAGTTCCTTACAGTGAATGAGTGCAGAATGACAATTAATTATAGTCCAAGCCACAAATCAAAAAGTACTAGTAAAAGTGTATACTCATCAATAAGACTTTGTTTTAGCTTTTCCATTCAGTTTAGAAGAAGAAATAGGGAGATAACATGTAATGAAAGGTGCATATGGTCTTCGTGTGACATTTCAGCTCCTAAACTTGGTAGAATGGGTGGTGAAGGCCTCTAGGGAAAACAGAGACAAGGAGAGGGGCTTTTTTAAAATCAGTTTACTCCATCATGGTGGGAATGGACCCCTACCAAGCCAAAGGATGAGAATTTCAATGAATACACGTTAGTGGATATTTTCCTTTTTTGACAAATAGTTTTAGTTTCCAATTTATGCAGTGATAGCAAGTTTCCTTTCAAAAGGATTTGAAAAAAAAAATGGATCACTTTCAAAGTAAAACCTGTTATATGCAACTAATGAATCATTGAATATGACATCAAAAACTAATGATGTACTACATGCTGGTAATTGAATATAATGATAAAAATAAACTAAAATCAAAAATAAAGTAAAACCTGTTGTAAAAAAAAAAAAAACCAGTGTAAATTACCCATGAACAGTGTAAAAAGAGAAGGGGATTAGTACAGGTAATCACAACACTGTTCTACAGCACCTGGCATGGCTGAGTGATGCCATAACTTGCTGGGCCAATCAGGAAAACCATATTCCAGTTAATTCTCTTGCAGGCTCCCTTGTAACACCAGAAGCATGAAACAGAATGTATGCAATATGTGTATTCTGTGGGAACTGATATTAAATTAAAATGCTCTCACTCAGGACTTCGATGAAATTTTTTTCAGTAAAGCAAATCTCATTTACTCTATAAACAATACATGAAAAGAATTTCACCAAAAGGAAACCATTTTCTGAATAGAAAAACAGAACATCAAAAAATACCTTAAATTTCCAATATGATATAAATTTATCATATTCATAAATACGGATATCAAATTCTCTGACCATTGACTAAATATGGCAGACCTGACACAAATAGACATATGTGATACATATTTTTACTTAAAGATATTAGGCTACATTATAGGGAAAAGTATCTAATTTATCAATCATGTGTTTGTTAACACTTCTAAAATTGGAAGCAATAATTACGTAGATAAATGAAGCCCTAGGTTTTGATTCTAGGCTCTAGGGCCTAATGTTCTCAAGAAGTCTTGAGTCTCAAAAAAGGTTGACCTGAGAAAAGTCAACCTAGTAAAACTTAAGCACATCTGCAGAGATGCTAATTTATTATTTTTTAATGTACTAAAGCAAAAGAAGGCAGTTTGGCAAAAATAAACACAGATGTTATTTTTTCTAATAAAAACCAAGAGAACAATAAGCAAATACTAGGGCAACTGTCTATCTTAGTGAGGGCATTCTTCAGATTTTTCTCAAACCCTTAATCATCATATATCATTATATTTTTCTCATTGTCATTACAATGCAAAATAACAATTATTACCTGGAAATTTTTTTTTAAATCAATAAACATGACCCTAAAGTTGGATTAAAAAATGAAATGATGAACACTTTTTTAAAGGCTAATTATGATCAAGGTTTTCTTCAAATAACATGTTGTAGAGCCTTAAAAATTTGTCTTATGAATAACTTTCAGTCAAAAGTTGTAGTTAAGAAAACTTTACATTGACAAAATTTATACTGGGTCGTCACTGATTTTGAGTTTTGTTAAGAATTTTCATTGATGGTACTTGCCGCACACGTTTATTTTGTTCCACAAAACAGATTAACCAGCAAGATATTTTAACTTATTCGAATGAGAGAATGCAGTTCCTTTGAATCATAACCCCCGTTCTTTAGGAAATGACTAAAAGATATGGGGGGAAAATAGTTATTAATTTCTAGGAATAGCTGAGTGCTGTATTTTCACCTTTTTAATTTTGAAAAGAAGAATCTTGGTCTTAGAAAATGTCACAAATTTATTTTGAGATGAAATTATCTTGATTATTCACCAAAAAAGATCACAAGTGAAAAGCATGAGACATTACTTGGAACCACTAATAACAACCTAAAACTTCTCATGGTATCTAGTCTGATTTTTCATTAGTAAAGTGGACATTAATGATCGTAAATGATTATAAAATGGACAAAGACGACCAGAACATTCATTAGCACCCGACCATGCTTCTTTATTCTAACCCAGAAAACAGTAAGAAATGACAGCCACTAGCTAACCATGCCATTGTAATGAGTTTGCATTTTCATTCTGGTTCATGACCCAAACATCTTGAAAAAATCATGCTCAAATCATCTGAAAAGTTACCAGGACCGATAGGATGATCATGTCCCAAACTTGGGATATGGAAGACCAGGGCAGGAGACTATTGCTGTTTCCTATGGGGTGTGGGGTCTGGGGAGCAGAGGGAGGTGTTAAGTTCCTTTGAAATGAAATGTGTGAACAAAAAAAGGAATTTGATTTTTCTTTTCTCATTGTGTTTGGTCTCTATGATCTGGTTGATGTGTGTGTTTGTATGTATATAAAGAGAGCAAGATAGTTCTATTTATTTAGCCCTCAGTAGTAATCATGTATAATATATTAACAAATGTTCATACCTCCTATCTTCAAATCCAACTCTATGTAGCATCAATAAAGCTCCTGCTTAGTTATGGGTCACATGTCCCCTGTAATTCCCAACTCAGGTCCTGAATAGCCTCAGAAAGGACAAGATATCAAGTGAAAAGTAAAACTTTACCCTAATGAAGAGGATCTTTTCACCCACTCGGTATCTTCCTTGAGAGAGCCTCTCCACACAGAATTTGTTTGGGCATTTGCAAGGAGGATCTTCAGAAATTCGCTTCACCTAAAAGAGAAGAGCAGGCAAGTTCAGTTTTCCTTAATCAGGTTCCATTTAGATTAATTTGTTCTATGTGTTCAAAGGCCCCCGGACCATTAATGCTTTTAAATTTGTTCTATATCAAACTATGGACACGATATGAGCACAGGAATATCACATTAAATCCTAACTATATAAAAGTCAGGCCCTGAAGGCATTTTCCGAAGGCCAGTAACTGCACTAAGGCATAAGCTGGATGATGACAATAAAAATGAAGCCAGAGGATAATGATGAGCAAATCAATTGGCAGTGTAGAAATAACGAGCTAGGTTCTCACTGGGGGAGTACCGACGAGATCGTGTACATTGAGTTGCCAAGATAAATACACTGAAAGCTAGAATAGAATGTGTGTTCACAGGGTACAATTTCCTCATTATAATTTTAATGATATTAATTTTACCATTTTCAAAATAAATGAGAATTAAATTGTTATTTTTTTTTAAAAAACGAGCCTACTCTTTCCATATTATTTTGAATTCTAAGATTTCCTTTAGGAAATCATCTCTACTTCACCCAGAGTCAACCAGCAATTCACTCCATGTCAGTAATTCTCACCTACCAAAACCTATTTTTGTGGCAGAATCTCACAATTTACGTGTCATATAGAATCCCTGTCTGAATATCAGATTTTATCTCTATTTTAACTATCTCTCTACTTTAAAAAAAATACATAATCTAAGTGATACGAACCACATTCTGGGGTAGGGTGGGGTCAGTGTTCGGTTCTGTCAGAACTTCTCAGAGTTCCTCTATGTGTATTTCTTTCTAAGTGTATTTGTAAAAATGTTTTTGAAGTAAAAGTGCATATACATATGCACACATGTTTTTAAAGTAAAAGTATATATATAAATAATATAATATACATTTATATATAATATAAATATATAATATATTATATATATATCAATTATGTTCAATTTATACCATTGCTAATTTATACATATCTTTTCACCACAATAAGGGCTTCCATGAAAAAGGAAGGATGGAAGGAAGGGAGAGAGGAAAGGAAGGGAGGGATGGAGAAAGGACTTTGGCCATCTAGCAGAAAATCAGACAGTCAGAAACATAAAAACACATGGTCCAAACTTTAAAAGAGCCATGCTTGGCACAGCTTCAGTGCTGCATAGGAACTGGGCAAAGCCATAAATTGGTGTTCAAGTGGTTCCTCTAAGACAAGACAATCACGATTATGCGTGGAAAGTGTTTCCATCTTGAAGTGTTCCTAGATGAAACACAGAAATTACTGGTTTCAAAAGAAAGAAAGTACAAGAAACATATTCTCAAGTGACCTGCCCTTCTCCATTGCCTTCCTAGCTTTGAAAATGGACCGGCTTTTTAAAATCAAGGGCTTTTTTGTAGTTGTGTGAGAGGTGGAGGCAGAAATGGAAGAGACAAGGCCAGACTGTGGGTAGTGGAAATATATTGTGAAGTCAACAGTGACTGATGACATCTGTGCTTCTTCCATTACCTTGGGACAAGTCAGTCTGGCAGGTGTTCTGTTTTTGGCCAGGAACTCAGCCAATTTTCTGCTAACGTAGGATTTCAAGAGGAGCCTGATTACTCAGAATTATACTATCTCTCATCCCCAGACTGAGGAAATTGATGGAGAGGAGGAAGAATGTAGAACTGTATTCAATTCATTGTGTGGGAACACGCTCACACTGAGCAAAGGCAAACCGAGAACTCAACACAACCCTACTTTTATTTATTTATTTTGGTTATAGTTGATTCCTTCTATCAGGACATCTGGAGAATATACTAATCTGAACGAACTCCACATTCAGTGGGTTTCTCTAATGATATCTTGATAAAGAAGGTGGCATGGATTATCTGCATAAAGGTTTTTTTTTTTTTCCTGTTTTCCACAATTCCCCTACAAATTTGAGGATACACAAGAAGTTTCAAACTGGTAGTTGTTTTTGAAACTGTTCATGGAATATGATATCTTAGGACAACTTTTCTTTTTTTATTCTTTTTCCTTTTTTCCCCCTTCTTCTTTTGCTCCCCTTTTTTATTCTCCTTCTTTTCCTTTCTTTTCTTTTCTTTCTTTTTTTTTTTTTTTTGGTTGGTGAAATAATAACTTCGCCAGAGTAAAAATAGCCAATATTATTAACAAAACATAGGGAGTTGGAAGCAATCTCTATCTCTCTATCTAATACCCCTATTCTGTAGCACACACCGCTGCTCAAGAATTTCAACTCTCCTACGGCTAGTAAGGCCTCACACACAGCAGAGCAGTTGCCATAGGAACTCTTTCCTTTTTATGTTTGACATATGAAGCTCTGATTTAAACCGTGGGTGAGGCCCAAATTATTTTTCTCTTTGTGCCACTGTCCCTGAAACAAAACACATCAGTAAAAAACTATCACTTAGCCAGAATGTGAATATTTCAAAGCAATTTCCCCAATGTAGAGTGAAAGAGCCTGTAAAAGATGGCTGTGTCCAAGTAAGTCTGGAAAATTCCAGATTAAACAAGACTCTCTCAGAGAACTCACTACTGCTTTTGATCTGTCAATGCACGCATTGCCAAACTCTAGATAGGGACTATATAGTAAACTGTATTTCTCAAAGGAATGTAACCATGGAATTCTTTCCCCCACGGGGCCTCTGGCAGTATGTTTGATTAAACATTATTTGAGAAATGCTGGTTTAAAGGCTTTCAGAACAGAGTACAATAGTACAGAAACATCCACTTGACACATTTCCTACATTCAATTAAAACCCCTTAACTAAACAGACGGTTATGTTCCCAAACTTCACTTGGTAAAAACGTACAGGGGGTTAAAAGCTCTTCTGAAATCCCCTTCATGGTCTGCAGCTGAGAGAACAGAACTTGGAGGAGGGAGAACAACCACAGAGCAACAGGCCACTTTAAAGAGATTACCTGTCTCGTTCTGCTCCTCAATGGGAGTATCAGCAAGACTTTTCCAAAATCCCTTCAGTGCTTTTTGCTCCACCTTCTCTCTCCTGTCCTTTTACTCCCCCTACGCAAGGGATGGCCACACATGGGACAAGATGGTGAAGGAAAGGAACCAGGTTCCTTCTAGCTACTTCTCCCAGGTTCAAGGGGCAACATTTCCACCATCTGCAAAGCTTCAGCAAGGTTGATTAAGTACAACTATTTCCAGAGCACATGGCTTTGCTTGATAAACAGAAAAAGGCAGAAGCTTTTTTAAACTTTTATAACCTACATTGGTAATTTATCCCCCACGCATGCCACTGGATAGATACAGATGAATAAAATAGGATACTGTCGTGGAGACCAGGAGCCACACCTAGAGAAGAATGGGCATTTATGTCCAGTAAGGCACATACTTTATTAAATATACACAAAACTTTGGGGCATCAAGAACTAACTTTTCAATTTTTCCTGGGATAAGAGATGCTGACAAAAACTTTATATAGGAGGCTGTGCCATCTGAATTTTATAAGATGAAAAAGTGCTTATATGAATATTCAAAGATTGAGTAAGCAGAAGTCTGATGAGGAAAGCAAGTGAGGAAAAACACAGGATATAAAATTGCCTTGGAAATTTGGGATTAGCGGGCATGTTTACAATAGATACATCAGAATGCAAGAATAAGTCCACAGGGTAAAAAGTCCAGGAAAGACAAAATGGGCCAGAGCATGGAGCGCTTATGTGGCGTGTCAATGAGTTTGGGCATTAACCTGGAATGTGACAGGGAACCCCTATATAATATTAATCAAATCTGAGTTGCATTTTTTGCTGATCATTCTGGTAGCAATAATGTTCAGGGGGTATAATTTCAAGAACAGAATAGTAAATAGTTATCAAACACCAGAAAGTGTTCTCTTAATTTGCAAACTAAAAAAAGTTCATTTGAGAGGCTCCTTTGGTGGCTCAGTTGGTAGAGCATCCTGACTCTTGATCTCTGGTCAGATCATGATCTCAGGGTCTTGAGATCCAGCCTAGTCTGGGTCTCCAGGGTCAACACAGACTCTGTTTGTCCCTCTCCATCCCCTTTCTTACTCTCCCCCGCGAGCACTCACTCTCTCTCTCTCCATCCCCTCCATCTAAAATAAATAAATAAAGATAAAATCTTTTAAAGAAATTCATTTGATTTGGTGATCCATTCACTGAAAGGCTTAGGGTGATGTTGGCCAGAGCTCTGCCTCTGATGGAGAAAGTAAACAGAGGTGACAGCTAAGAGAAAAGGAACAAAAATCAAGTGCCGTAGCCTCAGAGAAACACATGTATAAGAAAAACCAAAGGAACATCTTATTCTAAAGTAAGCTGAATCAGAAAAGTATAACTTGGAGAGAAGGAACATCGTTTTCATCAGTGTATAAATAATGTCATTGCCTACTGTTAATATGATACGTTGCTCAATTTCCTTACACAATAAAAATGAAATACTATATGACAAGTAAGGCATGTGACCAATCCTAAAAACTGTCCTGTGATTTAAAAATTTTTTTAGATAGCATTGGATACAAATGTCCTTCCTAGTCTTTAATTTTTGAGCAACTTGAGCAAAAGAAACTAAATTAAATCGATATTGGCTAAGATACCTTGACAAGCTAAGTTTTAAGTTTGCTGACTTTAGAAATGGAAATTCTCAGTCTGTCAAATTGTGGTACTTCTGCTTCTGTGACTCTGCAATATAGGCTGTAATGTTACACAGGGAAAAGCAAAAGATGAGCAATCTCTCTTCCACTTCCTATAGGGTCAGTCAGCCCTTACCCCAGCTCTTCACAGCTCAGACCCTAGAGAAGGAAACTCAACTATGGGCCAGCACGGCTTTTCAGTCCTGCCTGTTCCACAAAATGGCATTATGGTTGGTGCTGGTTTCTAAGTACCTTCCCCATGTATGAGATGTACTTTAACATCCCTGAGGTAACTATTTTTGAAAAACTGCCCATGTTTTTTTTTTTTTAATTTGCACTCAAAGGTTATGGGCTGGGAGGTGAATGCATGCACACAGCCAAACACACTTCTTATAACCAAGAACTACTTCTAACAGACAACAGAGGAGCCAGAGAATTTTAATTCATCCAGGTTGCTGATCCTCCCAGAATCTGTTCTCCATGATTATGAGGGTCTATGAAAACATTCCCTACTCTACCAAAGACCATGACTCAAGGACTCTGCTAGTTAGAGGGGTGGGGACCACAGACAGCAAAACGGGGTTGGGATCTAAGCTCCTCTCCCCTCAGTAGGCATTTTAATTTCTGCTTCAGTTTCTTCAACAAGAAAGGAGCCCCATGATAGCAAAAGCACTTGAAAAACAATGATAGATTCTGGCCCATAGCAGGCAGGTAGCAAAGGGCAGTTCTGTTCCCTGTGGAATGTTGGTGTTCCCGTCTCCTACCTCAGGCTTCTTATCTGTGAAACAAAAAACCATAACCCAAAACATCAAGGTTGAACTGTTTGCAAAGATAATTTTTAGGAAGTTAGCTTATCCTAAAATTTCAGATACTACTCAGTAGAAATCAGGTCACTTTATTTTAAACGACTGGCTCAGTTTGGAATCTCAAAATGACTACTTCTACTGTTGCAGGACTACAAACTTTTTCATAGGATTTAAAAATGAATTTGAATGAAATTGAAATAGGTGAAGGTTAGATTGACGAGAGATTGTACAGAATAAGTTTTGAAGTTCAAAAAAGAGTAAGTGCTGGTAAGAAATCCAACCAATTTTACTTACGGCATCATCCAGTAAGTTCCCCGTACTCTTTTTTCCAGAAGACTTTGATGAAGGGGAAGGTGAAGGAGAGGGCGCAGAAAGTGTTTCTTCTTGTTCAATCTCTTTTTCCAATTTTATCAAACCAGGAGGTTCCACACCATACCTTTTAAAAGACACCAGATCAGTACACATGCATAACTTCTAATGATTTACTTACCATATGTTACCTTTGCTCATGAGCACCATAGGACCAAATTCCTGACTTTTTAAAACTAACTTTCTCTGGCACTGAAATGGTACGTTCTAAAATTAGCCTCCTTTAAAGCAGGAAAAAGCACATATATCTGATTTTGATATAGATATATACATATACACTTACGTTCAGATATGCATATAGACACATGAATAGACAACTGGCATATTAAGAATAAAAATACTCCATGTAATACATTGAGGCAATAACATGAGTTATCATGTAAACTTTAGTCTTCAGCTTTTAGATTTATTAGATTTGAGATTTGTAATTGAATTCCTATTTTGAAGACAAGCTTGTTAAAGATGAAAATAGCAATCCCCAAAATGAACATCCTTAAAGGATTTAACAGAGAAGAAATGACTGTTAATTGTATACCTCCTTTGAGTCCAGAACAATGTTGTGTGGGATTGTACTGTGTCCTAGGTTATACGCTTAAAAACAATGTAATGAAAGTAGGTATGGGGTCCCGTAAAAGAAAATGAACAAAAGCAAATAGAGAAATAATTTAGAATAACAATGTTAAAAATTATGTTATAAATTATTAATACCCTAGAAGTTCAAAAAGAGAGATGTAATAGTTGTTATTGGCATTCTTATCTCCCATAAATGTAATTTTCTTTAGCTAAATTTAAAATTGGTTCGGTTTCTTAGATGCTTATCTAGTATACCTGGGTGAAGAAGACCAAAGATAATTCCAGAATGTGAGAGTTATAAAGGATCTTTGGGATCATCTAGTTATAGCTTAAATTTTTACAAAATAAAGAATAAAGATCCAGAAAGGATACAGAATCAACTGGGAGCAAGACAAAGACGCAAATTCAGATTTTTTTCAGTGTAGGGCTGAGGTTCTTTTTCTCTGACATTTTAATCAGGTGATTACATGTTAGAAAGGAGAGGAATGAGTCATTTGGAAAGTTAAAAAAATAGGTGATGGATAATCTACAAAGAAAATAATCTACATAGAATAAATACGTAGATGGTATGTCTACTACCTTAGAGTTAATAATATATTAAAAAGATCATTGAATACAAAAGTTAAGATTATTGTCCTGTTCTAATGGCTTGTTACTTTAACTCACATCATCACACATGTGTTCAGGATACACTTCCAGAGGAAGCAACTTCCCCACTCTTGATGTTTTTGTTCTTGTCAAGGGTACTCGATTTAATTCCTGGCCTCTCTCTTTCATTACTCACACTTCTCCAGCAAGACGGAGGGATTTATCAAACTGTAAAATCTAAGAATCAGTTAAACTTGCTTGACTCAGTTCACCTTTCTTCTAGGGAAGCAGCTGTCCCCAGAAAGGCCTCCATAGAAAACTCCATCTTTGTTTGTAATTAGGTAGTTAATTGCCCTATTTCTGGAGGTCAGTTAAAGACACTAAGCATGTCTGCCAACTTGGATCTTTTTTTTTATTTCTTAATTCTTTAAATTAACATATAATGTATTATTTGTTTCAGGGGTACAGGTTTGTGATTCATCAGTCTTACACAATTCACAACACTCACCAGAGCACATGCCCTCCCCACTGTCCATCACCCAGCTACCCCATCCCTCCACCCTCCTCCACTCCAGCGACCCTCAGTTTGTTTCCTGAGATTAAGGGTCTCATGGTTTTTCTCCCTCCCTGGTTTCATCAACTTGGATCTTATCAGTAGTAAAGGTGATATTTAATGTTCCATCTGGAACTCTTTTATTCCATTTTCTAATATTTTTTTCCCAGAATTTAGAGGGTAAGGATGCATGCTGTGTCAGAAGCTCTTTGAGAACTGAAAACTTGAAATTTAGTACAAAACAGTCTAGGCTGTCATAACTCCACAGAACAACTGCTTTCTTGAGAACCATCTCTAATGAACTGAATAATTTTTAGTTAAATAAATCATTAGCTAAAAGACCTATGCACCATTCATCATATATTTAATGTTTTATATATATTATCCAGTTAATGGGACATAATGGAAACATGCACTAGACTGCAAATCTGTATCAGTGGAGACTAGTGTCTAATTCACAGCACCCTCCAGAGCAAGCATAGGTCCTGGCACACAGCAGGTACTTAAGGGCTGCCATATGAATGAAAAAAAAAAAAAAAATCCCATTGTATCATACAACAATAATTTTGAGATCCAAATATGAATTTAGTTTCATTGTCCTGGATCTTTAATTGCATATCATTTTATCTTTTTTGAAGGTTTTATTTATTTATTTATTTATTTGATAGCACATATGAGTGGGGAGAGGGGCAGAGGGAGAGGAAGATGGAGGGAGAATCTTAAGCAGACTCCCCTGATGAGGGCCGAGCTGGTGGTGGTGGGCCTTGATCTCACGACCCTGGGATACTGACGTGAGCTAAAACCAGGAGTCCAACAACTTAACTGAGCCATCTAGGTGCCTCAATTGCATATATCACTTTAATTAAACATGTCAATATTAAGTGCATACAAATGCTTTACCAAAAAATTTTCCAGCAGATTTTAAACCTTATCCAAAACTAAACCAAATACATTATTTTTCTTTCCAGTACTTCATTAGTTACACTGAGGTCAACCCAGCATCTCATTACTGCTGACAAGTACCAACAACACTCACATGGAGATTTGAGTATCCTTCTTCCCTGAGGTAGACTTGAGCTCACTGTGTCATTAACCTACTCTTAAAATTTAGCAAGTCGCTTAACCTCGAGAAGTCTGTTTTCTATCAGGAAAGTAGACATGAAACTGGCCTGCCCCGGAGGTCTGATGTCATGGTGCGGGGAGGGAGGGAGGGAGGTTGCTGGAACGGTAGCTGCTGTTGAACATCTTCAGGGTCCCCAGCACGGTCGGGCATCCTGACGTACATTCTTTCTGAGGCTCCTTGTAAGTTCAATGTAAAATGGAAATTCTAACTCCTGTTTTAATGTTGTTAGGAGAAATTAAAAGAGTATCCTTCACAGGGGTGCCTGGGTGCCTCAGATGGTTAAGCATCTGCCTTTGGCTCAGGTCATGATCTCCAGGTCCTGGGATTATGCCCCGTATTGGGCTCCCTGCTCAGCAGGGAGTCTGCTTCTTCCTCTCCCCCTGCCTCTCCCCCCTGCTTGTGCGCGAGTGCTCTCTCTGTCTCTCTCTCTCTCAAATGAATAAAATCATTATAAAAAAGAAAGAGTATCCATTATATGCTCAATACAGTGTCTAACACATGGCACAGCCTCTGAAATTGTGTTGATAATTGATGAATCAAAAGTTTTACCATTAGGAAACTATAGCACTAAAGTGTTTTTGACGAAGCTTTTTGAAAAATGTATTATACCACCAGATGAAATAATGTAAGGGCCTGAAAATTAAGATGTAATGGAGTATTATCACTACGGTTTATATTATTACTCCTGTTTGTATCCTTTACAAAGGAACTCCTTATAGGCTTTCTTTATACTCGTTTTCCTAGAATTATAGAGCAGCAGAAATTTCTTAGTGCTGGATATAGCCAAACGAGTTAGAAATTCAGCTTTGTTCCTAACTCCTGGATGAACTTCAGCAGGCAACTCTTTTTCATCTCCCCAGACTTCTTTGAATTCTTAGTCCATCAAGGTATAAAATTTTATTATATTTAATGTTCTTAAGAGAATAACACAAACTGGGCAGTGAACCTAGAGGAATTTAACACACTGGAATTCACAGCCAAAATTAAAAGTCAATCACAAGTAAAAACATCATATTTGAACGTATAAATTAAGCCAGTTGGAAAATATGATTTCATTCGTAATTGTTGGTGGATTCAGGCCACCTTTCAGGAACAGGCTGCATAATTTTTTACTTTTCTTCTCTCTCTCTCTCTCTCTCTCTCTGTTTTTTACAAGTAAAATAACAATGTATTACTAGAGGAACAATAGGCTTCACCATGTCTGATCCAAAGTTAGCCTAAGTTTGAATGAAGTTGGTAACAAAGTCATACATGGAAAGCCTTGCCCTGAAGATTTTTCTTTATCTGGGAATGCTGAAAATTAGCTCTGCCACTGAACATAGAGAATCAACACTAAGCTCCAAATCTCTGCTTATATTGGCTTTTAAATACTTCAAGCTGCCTAGGGTAGAGTCAGCCAGTCCCAAAATGCACACTTAAATACGATTCATTGGCTTCCTGTCTGTCTGGAGATGTCAACAGGCTGTAAATCATGACATTCCCCTGAGGCTGGGGGCTCACACCTGCAAGCCAACTTAGTCACCAAATAGGTCTTTTTTTTTCTACTCTCCAAAAGGTTGCTTTTACTGGTTTCCATGATTAATTCTATACCACCTCACATTTCTACTCTGTGAGGTTGTCACAAATCTATACTGTTTTCTACTCCTTTCCAGCTATGAGATTTTTTGAGTTTTGGGAGAGAGAATTTATTGTTTTCACACTGAATAAGGGTCCGTAGAGTAAGGGGGACACATTTTAGAAACTCCCCCTTTTTAAGGCCGATAAGTTTATAGGTAAACAGATGAGCTTATAGTTGACAGTTTATAGATTCTTGCAAGATAGTTTTGCCCTATTTTTATTCTGTTCTGAAGTAATTTAAAGACAGATTTGCATTTGGAAGGAAATTTCACTCACATGAGCACATGTGATATTCTTAGCAGAGTCAAGTGTTTTAAGTAGGATGTGTTAATTAATAAACCTTGTATAAGAATATTTTTATTTTAAGCAACACTTCATTAGGCCATGCATTGAAATAGACTAACAAAAATGTTCACCAAGTGTATTTCTTTCAAATGGTCATAAGTGTTGTTCAAAATTAAGGAAGCACTCAAAAATAATAATATAAAAAGCTCCACTAAGATATTAATGATTATGGCCCCAGACTAAAATATCAAAAGTTTTTAACTTCTAGCATAAAGGTAATCTTAGTTCTGTAGTCTGTAAAATGTTGACTTCATAGGGACACTTTTCAGCAATGAATATCAAAGCATTGCCATTAAAAAGATCTTTCAGGTTTTACTGACCTGCTTTTGCTGAGGGTTTTACTTTTCAAAAGGAAAACATGCATATTTTACACACAGAAACTGACATGGTTTCTGAAATATTAACAGTGGGATTTCACTCTCCAGTGATGATAGCTCTATTCAGTTGAAAATAAAAGGAAGTTTTACCCATAAGAACAAAAATAAGTGGTCTCATTCTCCCCTGTCAGAACTCAGAGAAGCCCACAGCTCTCAAAGGAGTGTCACTGAGTTTTCCCAGTCAGGAGAAGATGGCAGAGAATCAGAAACATCTTGAGAATCATATCTGAAGTGATGTGGATACTTTTAAGATGACATTTATGTAATTTCAAGGAGTTAATGTTTAGAATCAAATATTAAAAACATCAACTGTCAGTGATTATTAGAAAAACGTTCACAATTCATAAGATTGTGCTGGGGACCTCATTATAGTAAAAAACTCATCCAGCGTGTGTACAAATTAATGTACTGATTCATAAGAGCTTTCCCCAAATCACTTCTAGTTTTGGTCAATGATGTCTTAACTCAGTAATTTCTGTAATTCTCTAATGGAGACACAAGGAGAGGAGGAAGCAGAAGGTAAAGATGCAGACATAGTTTCAATATGTTCAAAGAAAAATTTAGGAATAAAATGAAGTCAGGTGGATGAATTTTCCTTTTTTTTTTCCCCTTTAACTAATATGTTCCAACATACAGCTTAGGGAGTGAAATTTGGGTTTACTGGTTTGCTGTCTGTAAAGAACAACTGAACTCCCTTCAAATAAAAAAAAAAAGATAAGATCTTCAAATGTGTACAGATAGAAACTTAAGTAGACAGGTATACTTAAATGTTCAATCTATCCGATTGGTATTCAACTGTTTTACCTTATGCTGCACACAACAAAATAACACCCTGAATGATCTCAGCATGTTTTCTGGGTTTCAGTGTAAGTACAGTATTTCACGTCACTCAGGTAAGTGAAGAAAATAAAAGAAAGGTTTATAAATAGAGCATTGTAACATAAGGGTTATCTTAATCCTTAGATAATTCCTTTTTGAAATTAGTAATATCTTTGTAATATGAATAATTACTGCTTTCACCAGCTTACATGGTTGTAAGTATGGTCAGAAATGGAGCAACCCATTTGTATCATAAATAACAATGACAATGGTGATAATACTAATACTAATACTAGCAGGATGAAAATGTGAGGGGTGATAGATCGACTAATGGCCTAGACTGTGGTATGGTTGCACAGATATACACTCATCTCCAAACTCATCAACTCGTATATATTAAATATGGACACCTTTTTGTATGTCACCCAATAAACTGGTTTTAAAAAAAAAAAGAATGATAAAGAAATAGAGCAACCCAGACTCTCAGTTTCAAAATAACTGGGGGAAAAAAAACACATAAAACTTGACATGATCCATCACCATGAAATTGACCAGGCCCTTATGATCTCTGTCATTAAAATTAAGATTTTAATTTGTTTTATGTACCATGGCAAGGGATAATTTATGCCAGACTTGGAACTGAAGGAAAGGGGATTTCTAAAGGGATTTTGTCATTGGGTGTCATGTCTTCTCCTTTAATGACTCCGTCATAGTTAAAAAGTCTGGTCCAGCAGGATTCCTAATCTGAGTGCTCCAGTAATAAAAAGCATAATCAAAAAAATAAACCTAGAAAATAGGCAAATATTATAAACTAACAAGAGGATAATGACATCTCGTGACTAATTCTGCAGATGGTACACCGCCTTCTCTCTACCTATACATTGTGACTTTCAGAATCATGATGCTGACTTGATTCATGTATTTAGATTATTAAAACAACAAAATGGAATCTGGCCCTTTAGAATATTCTAGCAGTATAATTAAAATTAAAAAATTGAACAAAAAATGTTCTGCCTTATCTCTTAAGTAGGAACCATCCATGTTTCTCTCACTCTAACATTTCAGTGGCAGCCGCTCATTTATTGAAATTTTACTTTGTGTGTTTTTCTTCCCCTTGTATTTTTCACTTTCCCCCTTTTAGGGGATATCTGTAGAGTTCAAAGGATACCATTCCTTTGACTCAAGGTCGTTTGCCCTACAGGTCAGAAGCCCCAAGACTAGGTGGTTTAGCAGAGTCTGCCGTTGTCTCGCTCCCTCATAGAACCCAAGAAGGTGACAGCTCTGTGGGGGGGGGGGGTCTAAAGAAAGAATGGGACCCTCCAAGCTCAAACTAAGCTCCAGCAGTAGAGGCCTGAGTGGACAGAGGACCAGGGACCCTATCCCAAGGCCTTCACACAGTATCTGGGCACAGTATGGGAGAGAATAGGGAAACCTCCAAATGTCTCAAATTGGCTTTTTCATTTTGAGTGGAGCTTCAGTCGTACTTAATTTGATTTTTTTTTTAATTAAAGAATCTTCATCATACCCACATACTGTGGTAAAGTAAAATTCATACTTGATATACAATTTATTGAGATTATGTTGTCAATCATGTTTTACGGAACCTGGAGTTACTTCTGATTGCAGGTTAATTTCCCATTGGATCAAAACCAAAAATAAAAACAAACAAAAAAGCCCAGGTCTATTCACTGGCAGCAAGCTTTCTACCCATTGCTATAATTTTCTGATGGGTATGCCTCGTATTTTCTTTACCCCGATTTTCTTTATAAATTTTTCTTTGAGAATTCTCACCCAGAGCTAGCTCTCACTTTATCTTATTGGCTCATCTGATCTCTCTCCTAACAGTGAACCCAGATTTTGATGAAAAACATCTAAGTAATTCTGAATTTTTAGTTTGAATCATGTCTTCTTTGACTACTTACATCTTCATTTCTAATTCTTTGGGTTTCATAGAACTGTCAGAAGTTCTGTTTGGTCATTTGCAAGAAAATGAAAGATAAGACATGAAACCAAAGCAAGTCACCTGAAGTAATAAAGTCCCTTTCTCTGTCTATTTAGCTATGATTTTGACTTTTACAATTACTTTTCTTTTCCTAGAAGAAAATGATTCCAAATGTATCTTCACATATGAAGGAAAATATTCTATGCCATTCTCTAATGAAAATACGGAAAATAACTGAAAAATTATCCCTCTACTTAGCAGTAGAAGCTAAAAGACCTAAGACATGGGATGCTGAATGAAGGATAATGAGAAAAAAAGAAATTTATTTAATAATAAATTTATTAAATATTAGTAGATGATATTAGGGATTATATTAAGAATTAAATTATAAAAAATAAACAGAAAGAGAGGAGGTGAGGAGTTGGGAGAGAGAGACATAACAGAAATAGACTTTAGCAGAAAGAGTAATTGTCACACACAACTTGATGTACAAGACCCTCCCCCACTCCCCCAAGAAAAGACTGGAAGGCAAATGTCTTAGATGAGAGGATACGCTTTTAGTAAATGCTTATTAGATATAGTGGCTTTGACAAGATTGTAGGGCTAGGAATATTGGTGGCATGCTTTTCGTTTGAACAATTGCTCTTGAGATGTTTGTACTAATTATATTTGGAAAAAATAGCTTCTCAATGCCCAGGTTAAATTAGCAATGAAAAGCCAGCAAGCTTCTCAGTTGCTTCAATGCTGAGATGGTCCACGTCTTGAAATAGTGACAGCAGTTTGACCTACCTGGCTGCAATCCGGCCAAGCTCCAGCAAACAGAGACACACTTCTCTGGGTTGCTTGTGGAGGACTGAAAGATAAGACAGAGGTGGACATCTTTACAATAGAAGGGATTGTAAAGCAGCTCAATAGCGAACAGGCTTGCCAATGATCTCTCATCCCTCATGCTTCCCGTCAATGGGCTAGTCTTCTTTCTCACATTCACAGAAGCCATCCCATCCCACATACACTTAGCTCTATCAAAGTCTTAAAGCAGCTTTCAAAACTCTCCGCCTAACCTCCCTTCTCAAAGTCATGAGTCTCAGGAAATCTTACCCTGAGTTAATCTCACCCTGAAAGTGTTTTCTTTTATTAAATAATATTAGTAAGTCGATCTTGGAAATATATGTAGTTGTCATTATAATATAAATAGTTGATATTTAAAAATATGCAGCACATGGAAGACCGTGGAACAAAGCTGGACTTTGCAAAATCCTGAGTCTACCTCACTAGTGATTTGAGCAGAAATAATGCAATGAATAAGGATAAAAATGATACACCACAGTCCTTCATTATACTCCAAGCAGTGACATCAAGTGAGACTCTGAAACTTGATGTCCTCTGCTAATCAAATCTGATTAAATGATACTTTAGAAAGATATTCTTTCAACAGAATGGATTTGTAAATATGTATCAATATACACCAATAGTCAACTTTGTCCATAAAATGAGCAAATTACAAGACTGTTCTTTGTATTGATCAGATTCTAATATATTCTGATTGCTTAATAAATCTTGCTTTACTAATTGGTTTGGACGCATTCAGTAATGTTGACAAATCATACTTGCATTCGTTGAGCCTACCAAAAGTGTATGTCCTGCTTATATTGCTCTCTTTTTAACAAGATAGAGCATTTTAAATACATTGTTATGTACTGCACCTAATAAAGCCAACAGATATTTAAAAAAATATGATGCATTAAGAATGGTCTTTATATAGACAATATCCTGATAAAAGAAAATACTAGCTTACTGATCAATTTTAAGAAAAACAGTAATATTGCTTTAATTCTTAAACATAGAATTTTATAATAATTCCACTTCCCAGAATTATTCTATTCCTTTAACTTAAATATCTAATTCTTTCACTCCACAGATTATGGTACTGGCAATATTGGTCCACTGACATCAGAATGGAATTTATTGGGAGTTTGTGGTGAAGAGAAATAGAACATTTACTTGGAGTGTAAAAGTCATAATTGGCTTTAAACAGACACAATTTTATTATTTTGTTATAAAATGTCACTTTTGAAGCTCACAAAATAAATTCTATTCCCATCAACAATTTTCATTAAAAAAGAATTATGGAAAAATCTCAGTTATAGAATATTCCAATTCTTGGTAATATAAAGTTTGGTTTTAGGTGACCCTGAGTGAATTCCCCTCATCAGGAAGCCTTAAGTTATTTCTAATTAAAGGATCTAAAAATAAGGGTAGTTAATAACTCCAATTTCAAAGGCACCACCCGGTTGACTCAGGCTAGAATGATACAAACTTCACAACTTCATTGAATCAACTACAGTGCCATATAACAAATGGACTATAATACCACAAAGGCATCAATTTCAAAAAGAGAACAATCACAAACATCACAAAACAGAAGCAGACAATGAAAATCAATCTTTCTGTCTAGATAATAAATTCTTTCTGATTTAGGCCTTTAAAAAACCCCATCCATGGAACAAAGCAATAAACATAGGTTCTGAATGGAAAAAAGAATATATAAGAACTGAGAGGAAGATTTTATTTAGGCCCTGTTAATAACCTCATCTTCAGTGAACGCTATGCAAAGTAAGTGGCTATAGCTCTGGAAGTCCTGGACACAATCTCCTGTATTTCTTGATGGAAATAGGGTCAAAATATAAAAAATTACTACTAACCTGACCAAATTGTGTCAATGTGCAGTCAATAACCAGTTACAAAAAGTAATACCTGACCCACCTATAAAGATTCCTTAACCAACTCATTATCTATAGCTTGAGGACTATGTAAGTATTTGAATAGATACATTTTACAGAGAATAAAATTCATCCTGAAGAAAAACGATAATGTGAGTAACAAAGACATATGTGAGACACATTACTATTGTGTATTTCTTTGCTTCCTCAACTGAGCTAGCGACTTAAAACAGCTTTGGAATGCCCAACTCTAAGGCTGAATCTACCATGGACTCATTTTGGCAAATCAATTTTGGCAAACTAGGAAGTAACTGCATGATTCTTCATTTTACATCCTTAAAAGAGTATTTTATATATATATGTATATATATATGTAAATTTCATACATAAAATTTTTTCATATCCCTAAAAGAACAAGCTTATAAAATTTAAGACAAATGAACCTCTCCCTCAGCATCATTTCTTAGGAAAAACTAGTAGGATGATTACTGTACTTCCCCATTTTCTTAGAAATGTTAATTTTCATAAAGAAAATAAATTGCTTCAAAAAAACCCCTGTGTTATTGTCTCACATAATAATGCCTTTTTAAAAAGCAGGTATATTATACCTGGCCTAAAACGACCAAAAAACCCCACAAAAATGAAACAAAACAAAACAAAAAACAAGTTGGTCTGATGACCAGTGAGCCATGAATGAGATGAAGCTGTAGAGGTGCATAATTTAGCACAAAACAGTAACTACCCATTAAGCATTACAACTCAAAAATCAAGGATGATGACAATCATCCAGTGATGATCGTGGTTTCGACAATGAACAAGCTAAATAAAGACTAACATCTTACCTGGTGTCTTGAGAAAGCACAAATGATGTCAATGTTTATTTAATTGTAAAAGCAAATACTCTTGCTTTATGGGTATATAACGAAATTCAAGAGTCTTTAAATAGTATCTAAATTTCCCAAGGAGGTGACTTTGTTTGGTTTTTGCACTCAAGCAAGTTTCTAAAGTAAGTTGATAGAGTATAGTGGCCAGGGGATTCAAACCACAAAGATCTGGGTGTGAGTATCAACTCTAAGGCTTACTGGTTGCATTATCTTGGGAGGTAATTCTACAATATCTCATTTTTCTGAGGAAAAACAAAACTGCATATCTTGGAAGGTTTTGGTGAGGATCAAACAAGGTAATATTTATTTTTATTCTTGACACAGTGCGTGGCAAATAGGAAAGACTAGCCCAACGCTAGCTTTATTAGTTTTTAAAATTTTTGTTATTATAAATTATTTGTTTAAAGATTGTCTTCATTTGGCTTAGTCAACAATAATTCACTTATTTTTTTCCCTAAAAACATTTTTGTGTGTGTGCAACAATCGGGCGTCATTCACTATGCTAGGCATGATAAAAACTTTGGAATAAAAAAATTACTATTGGTATAATATGTATAATCTAAAATGGTCTATTACAATGAGTATATATTGAATATTTTATCATTTATATTATATCAGAGACCACTAATTATAAATCAATCTAAATCAAATCCCAGGTTAAGTAGGTCAATTTAATCAGCATATTCAGAAATATAAAGCAGATAGCCGATAGTTATTACAAGTTTGAGCTAAGTATAAAGCTTAAGAAAAGTGTGTCGTTTTGTGAAACAGCAAACACCTTACCATTAATTTTTCTGTCTCTGACAATAAAATAATTTAGATGAGTCTATTTTTAGTAAATTACCTAAGTTGATTATAAAAGACAAATTTTGTATATTACATTTAAATGAAAGCTTTTGTATTGAGTCATAAGGATACTCATCTTAAATCATTTTAATGATTCCCCTTTTCAAAAAAACAATAAAACTTCTCCTTATACTAAAGTTTACACTATTTTTTTCACTCTGTCATTGAAATATTCATATGGTTTTTTGCTTTGAGTTAGGAGAAGAGGGAATCACTATTGTTTTCTTTCATCTAAAAAATTGTTTTTTAAAAAATAGAAAGCTCTCCAGCCAATGGTAATTATTATGTGAAGGGTTTTATCATTGGATTTTTTAAAATAATCAAAACCACCTCAAAGAAAATCATAATGCAGAACAGCTCTGAGAAAAGTAAGACAGATCCCTATTCAAAAATATGTGGCAAGAGACGCAGTCTTATAACCTAGATTCTATAAAAATCTCATGGGCATCAAATGTCAAATGGAGTGCTGCTAGCTCCAGGAATAGAAAATGAGGTCTTCCACTAAAGCAAAGGATAGAGTTTCAATGTCACAAAATCTGCAAGGATAAAATGCATTTCACCATAAATGTAATTTAGCTAAATATATTAAATTTTAACACATTGGGCAAAGAAATGGAAACACGAAAAAGTGTGTTGTCTGTTTGGTGTCTGTACAATAGAGACTACAATATTAACACTGGTTTTAAAGGAGACTGGGCTAATTAAGATTTAAATTTAGGAAGGAAACTTGAAAAAAATACACTTTGGCTGATTATTATTTAATTGTGAAAATACCATAAATTAATAGTTGTCCACCTTCCCAGAATAGAGAACAAGTTCTAATACTCAGAAAGAGAGGTGTGATAGAAAACACAATAAATGAGAAGTCAGAAGGATTGGGTTCTAGTCTAAGCTGCATCATTTTTTCATCTCCCAAACAGGCATCTTGCCTTCTACTTGCTCTCCTTTTGAGGTGATTTATGGTTAAAAGTACTTGGTACATATGGCAAGTGCTCAATAAATATTACTCCCTTGCTACTTAAGTGGGGTCCACAGACCAGCAGCATTGGCATCACCTGGGAGCTGGATAAAAATACAAAGTATTCGGTCCCACCCCAGACTTATTGACAAGAACCTACATTTAAACAAGTTCTCCAGGTGATGGGTACGCACTTTAATGTCGGAGAAGCACTGTATTAACCAATGTTGTGTATTATAGTAAACACCAGTTATAATTCCTGTGTTTTGTTAAAAACATTCAAATGTGCTTTGAGATATCTATCTATCTATGTAGATAGAGAGATATTCTCAAAACACTCTACAAATGTTTCAGATAACAGTGATGACGATGATGATTGGAAGAAAAATAATTCATGCTTTGGATTAGCCCTTAGTGGTGATTATGAGCATTTCTCTTGTGCCAA